TTTGTTATATTGTTGAAGTTCCTCATGTCTTCCTGTGTTCCAGCCTCCACATCTCTGCCAACTGTGCTCTCATTGTGTTTTTTTTTGTTTTCTCTTAGAATGTGAAATGTCCACGTGAAAAAGAACGCCTCACAAACATATGAGAGCTGATGTTTTATGTCTTGTAACGCGTGAAGGATTTCATTGTTACCATTAGCTGCATCAGGATAGCTTGAAAGGGAAAAWAAGATCAAGTTAATACTACTGCTACAGTATTATGGTTGACAGATTTTTTTGTATTAATTTTTTATGTTTTCTATTGTCATTATTTTCCTGTTCTTTGGCCGCATTCTTTTATTATTATTCAAGGTTCTCAATGAAGAATTGATGTGAAACGTGCCTTTATCTGTTACCTAATTTCCCTCTGGGATCAATAAAGTATTTTTGAATTTGAATTTTGAATTGAATTTAGCAAAACCWATTTGCTTCAGGTTTTCGTCTTTTGTTCTCCTGACAAGCTTCTGCTCCAGTTCAATATCTACTTGGTATTCTTCTACTTCCTGGAATTTTCTACCTAGATAAGATTAAACCATAATGATTTTCACAGTTTTATGCGAGTGCATCTGCAAAAGGCTAATGTTWAAAAAAATTAAAAATATACACACAGTATCAAATGGACAGTAATTTATTCCTCCCAAAGAAGTTCGTGAAGTAAAACAGTTAATTATTTAGAGAAGCAGCAGATGGTATCTGTTCAATGTAACTTTTAGAGGCAAAATTATTTAGAGAAGCAGCAGATGGTATCTGTTCAATATAACTTTTAGAGGCAAAATGTTCTTATCACAATAGAAAAAGAGGGTTAATTATTAAAAAATTAAAAAATTTGCTGGTGTATCGACAGCAGATCTTTAGGACCAAACAAGCCTGTTATTTTCTACACATACTAATTAGTAGCCTAATGAGTAATGAGGGTTTGAATCACCATTATTACTGTGTGTTCATTATTATTTAGCTTGTTTCCGACTTTTGATTTTATAGAATTGTCATCCATCCATTTTCTTTCACCTATCCAGGGTCGGGTCGCGGGGGCAGCAGCTTCAGAAGGGAGGCCCWGACCTCCCTCTCCCCAGCCACTTCTTCCAGCTCCTCCGGGGGAACTCCAAGGCGTTCCCAGGCCATCCGAGAGACATAGTCCCTCCAGCGTGTCCTGGGTCTTCCTCGGGGCCTCCTCCCGGTGGGACGTGCCCGGAATACCTCACCAGGGAGGCGTCCAGGAGGCATCCTTACCAGATGCCCGAGCCACCTCAACTGGCTCCTCTCGACGTGGAGGAGCAGCGGCTCTACTCTGAGTCCCTCCCGGATGACCGAGCTTCTCACCCTATCTCTAAAGGGAGAGTCCAGCCACCCTGCGGAGGAAACCCATTTCGGACGCTTGTATCCGGGACCTCGTTCTTTCGGTCATGACCCAAAGCTCATGACCATAGATGAGGGTAGGAACGTAGATCGACCGGTAAATCGAGAGCTTCGCTTTCTGACTCAGCTCTCTCTTCACCACGACGGACCGGTACAGCGCCCGCTTTACAGCAGACGCTGTGCCAATCCGCCTGTGGATCTCCCGCTCCGTTCTTCCCCCATTRGTGAACAAGATCCCCAGATACTTAAACTCCTTCACTTGAGACAGAGCGACCCCCCTGACCCGGAGAAGGCACTCTACCCTTTTCCGGCTCAAGACCATGGCCTCGGATTTGGAGGCACTGAGCCTCATCCCGGCCGTGAACTGCTCCAGCGAGAGCTGCAGATCTCGTTCCGATGAAGCCAACAGGACCACATCATCCGCAAAAAGCAGAGATGTGATCCTAAGGCCGGATCCCCTCAAAACCTCGGCTGCGCCTAGAAATTCTGTCCATGAAAGAAATGAACAGTATCGTGACAACGGGCAGCCTTGGCGGAGTCCAACTCTCACCGGAAATGAGCCCGACTTACTGCCGGCAATGCGGACCAGACTCTGACACTGGTCGTACAAGGACCTGACAGCCCGTATCAAATGGCCCGGTACCCCATACTCCCGGAGAACCCCCCACAAGGCCCCCCTTGGGACACGGTCGWACGCCTTCTCCAAGTCCACAAAACACAAGTAGACTGGTTGGACGAACTCCCATGCACCCTCCAGGACCCTGCTGAGGGTGRAGAGCTGGTCCAGTGTTCCACGACCAGGACGAAAACCACACTGCTCTTCCTGAATCCGAGGTTAGACTATCCYACGGACCCTCCTCTCCAGGACCCCTGAATAGACCTTACCAGGGAGGCTTAAGAGTGTGACCCCKCTGTAATTGGAGCACACCCTCCGGTCCCCCTTTTTAAACAGGGGGACCACCACCCCAGTCTGCCAATCCAGGGGMACTGCCCCCYATSTCCATGCGATATTGCAGAGTCGCGTAAGCCAACACAACCCTACAACATCCAGAGCCTTAAGGAACTCTGGGCGGATCTCATCCACCCCGGGGCCCTGCCACCGAGGAGTTTTTTGACCACCTATTGCATTGTCATATTGTCATATTTCCTCCATAAAACACTATGAACACTTAAACACAGGTCTGTGTCATATATTTTTCTGTGGTTTCAGGAACTTTTCAAAACTTTTTCGCACAGTGACTGGTTTACTTTTCATTCTGTGTTTTTTTTCCGCCTCTCATTAATTCATCAGTCTGGGAGTGACAGAAGCACGTGTGTAGTTACCATGGTGAGCACAATGAGCAACCAGCCACAGCTTCAACATTTCTTTAGGACTTGGTTCTCTTTACTCTTATACCCTCCTAAGATTGTTTTAAAAATGGAAGTTTCAAATTACTACAAAGTGGTAAATGCTGCAGTATCCTTTTCTTATATTTAAATATCTATTGAATTTTTAAAGATTCTAGCAAGCAAAACCAACATAAAATTAAAAATAGAAAAAAATGAATCACAGTGACTAAACAAACTAAACAAAGCATCATAAACACAGCATATCTTCAAAACAGAGTAGAAATAATTGTAAACCCCATTAAGACTATATGTATTTTATAAAAACCAAAAGCTTATTCCAAACAAGCAATTGTGATTCCTGTCCATCATGTAATACAGATAGAGGGGTGGAGGTGGGGGGGGGGGGTGTTAGGATTACAGGGGGAACTGAACCAGAAGTGTTGAAACAACTATGAAAAGAATGTGCACTTCACTCAGTGATGTGAGGGTCTGAAACAAACTCAACAAAGAACTGAAGCAATGCCCAAGCATAGGTTTGCCCAAGAAAAGGTTCAGACTGATGATTTTTAAAAAGTACAGGGATGATAATCTGAGGTGAACCTGAATGGTGTCTCAAATGCTGTTAATAGGATTGGATATGTGACTGTATACTGTGTGGGGCGGGGTGTACGTATGTGGATAAGTCTGGTTGTATTGGGGAGGTGGTTGTCTTCTTTATTCCCGGTCTCTCTGTGCTGTGGTCTGGCTTTCATGGTTGTTTGTGTTTGGGTTAGCTCAGTAGTCCCCATTTGGTTCCCCTTGGTGGTGGGGTGGGGGACCCCAAATGCACTGCTCTTGCACTGGCATTTTAGGGTGCTGGGTGTGTGTGTGTGTGGGTGGGTGGTGGGGGTTCTGGGTGCTCTTGGGGTGCACTGTGTATGTGGGTGTGTATGAGTATGCAGTTGGATGTGAATTTACAACTCTAAAATTTAGTAGAATAATATTGGATTCTGTATTACTTACATGTGTTTATTTGTGCATATTTATTTTTTTCATCTCATAAACTTATAAGACTCTAAAAACCAGATGAATATTAAGTGTAATTATGGAATATTGGAGAAAGGGTAGGATTAAATAAGTTTTACTTCTTCCTACCCCCTTTCAGACATGTTGAGTGGGATTTACAGTATGTGTATTATTATGTATAATAGGCAGACAGACAGACAGACAGACAGATGCGCACAGGTATGTATTTATTGTAAAGGTTTATTTGTGTATATTCAGTTAAAATTATTTCATTTACTGATATAAATGGATTTTACAGGGGTTCTAGATCTTCAAAATATGTGTGTATGCACATGTGTATATGTGTAGGTATACTGTATATAGATATACATATTCATACTAGTGTTAACCTTGACATGCTCCATGCAATGAATTTGCTGTGTCTAGAATGAATCAATAAAAATTAAAAGTATAATAAAATAAATAATGCATTGCAATCTCCGTCATAATTTTAATCCATTCCCCATAATCAGAGCTAGCTTGACTTTTCCCACTTATGAAGGATAACCGTAGTAGCTGAACTAAAACCCTGTTAGAACCAAAGTAAATTCATGTTTAGAGATGTTTGGCAGACATTACCTGTCTCCTGTTAAGTTTCCTTATTATTTTAAACTGTCTTATTGCTCTCATAGATTAACATGAAATAGTGTGTGAAGTTCATCACTCTGAGCACTTAAAAGTCCAATTTTAGTTTACAAAACCACTAACCTGTAGGATCCACAGGCCCAGAGAATGAACAGTTATTCAATTTCACGGTCAATATTAATTATCAGTATTGCACTAATGTAAAGAAGCCCGGAGAAAGCTGAATGGCACTAATGGCAGCTTTCAAATACAAGCTCGCAGAGGCGTGTTGTGCAGCACTCTGAATGAGRTCAGACAATTTCATATCACCTAATCTCCTCTCTACCTCCAGTCTGTAACCTGGAAATCAGTCTCAGGGCTGCATTATGAGGAAAGTCTCAGAGCGAGAATGAAGAGGAGCGATGAAGAGGATGAACAGCTGCATTCCTCGCAAGGCTGACTCATAAAAGGACGGGCTTTAACATCCTTCTATGATCTGATTTTGTTTAAACCCACCTGAGAGGAAACATAAAATGCATTTTTGTAGAAAAGCAGGCAGGTCTGGTGATAAGGGAAAAGAAGCAAAAAATGTTGAAACATGAGAGGAAAGGGTTGCTTTGACTCTGAAACCAAGACACTCTGCTGCGGCAGAGAGGAGCGAATGGACAAACCTGTCGTCGGTCCAAAGCGATGGCGGTGAGGGTGAGAGTGGAGACGTGCAGGGAGCAGTACTGCACGAAGCGGCTGATGTGACACATGGTCCTCCCAAACACCCAGGTGCTGTTTACGAAGCGGACCTGAGGAAACACATAAACGTGTCTGTCAAATCAAAACAACTTTAAAGACCTCCTTGAAAAATAAAATACTAAATATGAATATCACAGCCGCCTTTAAAGCCAGAGTTCCAAGCTAAGATTGAGGGATGACAGAGTTGTCCCTGTTGTGCACAATCTCGTGCAATGTCGCAAAATGACTCAGAGTGCATGTTGGGAAAGACTCTCAGCTACGACCACAGCAAACGTTAGCTGCTAATCAGTTGCATATCCAGTGATCGCTTTTTTTTTAATTCTTTGCTTCTGCTCTCGGAGAAGTTAGACGCTTTCCCCCTCTCTCCTGCCTTCCCTTATCTTCCCTGCTTTGCTGTTTGGGAGCCTCCTTTGCAGTTTCATCCCAAACTGGATGTTTACGTTGACTGGCCTCTGTCTCTTTAAGAACCTCCTTCTGCTTCTGCCCGGTCAATTGTTTCACGTGTGCGCTATGATGCACTTRACTTGGCATCTAAAAATACATTTCCTCAAAGGTATTTTGAATCTGAAAAGAGCTTCACTGAGTGAGCAGTAGTGTTGAGAGCAGCGGACAGCTTAAGTTTCACTTTCACATTCGCTGTTACTGCCGAGAGCCTGCAGGAGTCATGGGTGGGGTGTGTGGGGTGGGGGGAGGGGGGTGCTCTGCCATGAGGAAGTGCGGCTTGAAGACACGCCCCAGGGATGTTCCTGGTACCAAAAGGCGTTTCTGGTCCCCACCTGTCGTTTTGCTCCTCAGCATGGCTTCCTAAAAACGCTGCAGGATTTCTCAAACATGCATGAATGAGTCAAAGCAAGGCTTTGGGCAAGTTTTTTATGAGAATATAACATTATAACATGATACTGTATAAATCTCAAAAAAGTTGATTTTACATGATATTGCCCCTTTAAGGTTAGCGCCTCCTCATGATGTACTTTCATGTCGATGACCCTTGCTCTGCACAGGGGTCTATGGCTGCATGACCTGGGGGCACCTGTTCTATGTTTGGCTATGTTCTGTCTTCTTGTGAATGGGTGTTCTTAACTGTAATTTCATCGTGCTTTATACAATGACAATAAAAGGTTTTTATTTTATTTTATTTTATCTTATATCTAAAGATTCATTACAGTCTGTCCTGTGTGTCTATTTTGCTAAGAAAACAATCTCAATGCCAATATTTCAAGCTAAGGAGGATCCTGTGCAATGAGTAGCACATGTGTTGTGATTTACTCTCAGCTACAACTCCATCAAATTTAAGCACAATATCTGTAAGATTTAGTGAATTCATTAACACTAAAAGATTGGAGTGGTCCATAAGTATAAGATTAACATATCTCTGATTTTAAAGTGTTACTGGCTTAAACCTAAAAGTATTATTTCCATTACAAAAACCATTTCTGTACATTTTATAAGTTGCCTGTGGCCATCTTGAATCAGATTGGTTCCAAAGATTAATCAGCTATAGAGGTAGCAAGGTTCGCCAACCTTTTTTTTCCTTAAGAGCTACTTTCACAAAATGAAACTGTCCGAGAGCTACTTTTTGCAACATTTAATTTTAAACTCAAACCATTGGAATAAGCTTGTTTTGTACAGAAAAATATTGTCTTCAATTCACATGAAACTGCCATAAAGAGCACAGAATTTATATCAATGTGCTTTTTGTGTTTATCCATCCATATTATAGTGTATTTCACACTGTGAACATTGAACTGTGACAAATTTGTGCACAAATAGTGTCGTGTGATGAGTCTCTGATTTTTTTCCACATTGTAGACTCCAGCGGGAAGAAACCCCCTGTAGTGACATATACCACAGCGGGAGGGGTTTCCCAGGAGTTTTGCACAGTGTGTCTCAAGGGGCTATGAAAGGTGTGTGTGTGAAAACGAACGCCGAACAACCACGTAATGGCACGTCATCTGACGATTGACCATACTGAGCCCTAAACAGTTTGATTGACAACCAAGGTGAAGGAACATTTAGATCTATCTACAGATAGATTGGAATGAAATGAAAGTTTGGTTGGCCAGTGACAAAATAAATTTTGCTTCTTCAGTGAAGAGCTACTTTAAATGAGCTCAGGAGCTATTGGTAGCTCACGAGCTCTGGTTGGAGACCCCTGAGGTACAGCAAATGATTATAACCAGGAAGTCTCATTCAAATCTGTCCATTGGTTTGTGAGATATTTTGCTCACAGACACACAACATTGACTCCAACATAGTTCATGGCAAAATTTAAACAACGACCTCCATCTGTTAGCTAAAAATATGTGTTGGGGATCAGTCTCAGCTACTACGACACCAACATTTCAGATGATATGCACAGTGGCTCAGTTGCTGATGCCTCTCAGCTAAATTGTTATTTTTTTATTTTTAAAAATGCATGTAGAACAATGAACAAACATAATAAACTTAATAAGAATATACATATATTACCATGGCATTTAGGGGTTGAAATGACGATAAATTATCTTTTAAAACAACGTTTACGAGGGGGTCCCTGGAATTTTTTTCGCCCTTGTAAGAAGACCCAAGACCCAAATGGCTTGAGAGCCCCTGCTCCAAATTGCCCCTTGGTGTGAGTGAGAGAGTGAATGGTTGTTTGTCTCTGTGTGGCCCTGTGATGGACTTGCGACCTGTCCAGGGTGTACCCCACCCCTGCTGGATATGGGCACCAGTGACTCACGTGACCATGAAAGGGATAAGCGGGTATACATAATGGATGAATGTTTAAAACTGACTGAGTTGTATCCATTTACAGGTTTATAAAGTGAGTTGGCTGTGGTGGCCATCTTGAATTTGGCTCCAAATGTTAATCAGTTGTAGTCTCCAATGATTACATTCTAAGTAGTTTGACTAAGAATTGTCAAGTGGATATTTGAGATATTTTGTCAAAAATGCTCACAAACACAAGCAAAAACATCATCATCCGCCTTCCTTATTAGCAGGTGATAACCTTGAGGGATTTGATCTCTGGTGCCATCTATTGGTGTCAAGATCTGCTGCCAAAAATAATTTATACTAATTGTTTTAGTTGTATTCTACTATTTACTAAAAGTAAAAAATCAATAAATAAAGAGAGAGAGGGAAAGAAGAACTCTGCAACTTTTAAGTTAATAAACAATGTAAGAAAGTTTCAGGGATCAGGCTCAGTGAAGACAAGTTGTTCTCACCAGGGTGAAAGGGGTGTTGAGGACCGTGATGAAGATGTCAGCCACCGCCAGGTTGAGGATGAACAGGCTGGTGGAGGACTGAGTGCGTTTGTTTTTCACCACCACATGGCACACCAGCGTGTTCCCGAACAGAGACACCACGATGATGAGGGAGTAGGCGGCCACGAGCAGCGCCTTCACCCCGCCGTCCTGCGCCTCCTTCCCGCTGCTCGTCCTGTCGGCCAGGGTGCGCCAGCCCTCCAGCAGACCCTCGTCCAAGTCCAGGAGGAAGAAGCCCGAAGAGGAGGAGGTTCTGTTCCCGGACCGTCCCGACAGGTTGAGCAAAGTCTCCGTGTGGGGGAGCAGCGCGTCCTCGTCCAGGAGGAGAGAGGAGTCGTTGATGAGAAGAGTGCGTCCAGCTGCGGCGCTGAGCCAAAACACCGCCGAGAACCAAACCCACGCTCCTGTCATGGTCTCACCTCTGTCCCTGATCCCGCTGCGTGTTTGTTGGTGGCTGTGAGCTGGGTCCGCTCCGAGCGGAGCTGCTGCCAGCATCAGCAACAAGTTGTTGTGTGGTGGAGCTCCTCAGGAGCGCGAGCGCGCCTCGTGCGCCTCGGTCCAGGTGGGCTGCTGATGATGAGGACTCGCAGGGTCCTACAGTCACTGTAGGAACCAAAGTGAGCCCCCTTCATTG